TTGTGTCAGTGGTCGCGATCCCTCCTGCTGCCTTTGCCTTTACCCCAGTTCCTGTGGATTCTGCTGACCTCATGACAGTTACGTTGTTCAAGAGTGCAGGAACAGTTAAGTCCTCACGGTTTACTTCCTAAGTACAAATACTTCTTCATCTTCTTGACCACCAGCTCCGGTTTCATTAGTCTTTATGATCGTGTTAACTCCTACCAACCTGCCCTCCAGAATCTTCCATTTGCCTCAGATATCATGCAGACCCATCCCGCAGCACTGACGGAGCCTCTGCCTGCCCTTTACATGGTCTGTGGTAAAGTTGAAGGCAGAGGGGGAAAAAAAAAAATATTTTCCTCAGAGAGTGAAGCTGGGGGAAATTTGTAAGGATCAAAAATCCTTTAGCATCTCTCTGAGAGTGATGGAAGAGAGGGTAGAGGCAACCTCTGCCTTTTGGGTGCTGGCAGCCCAGGGCAGGCAGGTTCTGCTTGGCCATGGCTGGGAGGTGGCAGGTTTGCCCACGGGGAGGACTTGGCAACCCACGACCCAGCCAGGTTTTTAATCGCAGAAGGGTGGGAATTCATGCTCAGGGTCTGCAGGGGAGCATGTGTCTGCAACGCAGGAGGTGGGCTGGTGCCAGGCAGCCAAAAATCCCCTTGGCTTTATCTTCAGAAGGGTGTTCAGAAGGGTGGGACTGGCCAGCAGCCCCCGTCGGCCACCCGGGCAACCGCATCAGGGACAACTTGGGACTTGGTGGCCTGCAGCCATCACCTGGCTGCGGGAAGCCCTAGCTCCGCCCTGGAGCAGAAGTCACTTTTCCAAATTTTACAACTTGGATGAGCAGCAATGACTCCTCCTGTGTATTAAACATCCTTTCTAGTGAAAATCTTTTCTCTGCAGCGGGTGCAGGGAAATCTCAGCTGCACCAGGGGCCGCTGAGACAGATGGAGCAGGAGAAGGATGGGTGCTCTCTGCCCTCAGGTGGTGCAAAGGGTGACTGACACACACAGAGGCGGGAAGACAAACTCTGCTAGTTTATTCATGGGGTTAGCGAGGGAAGGGGGAATCAGCCACAATCAAGGCAAGCCCCCCGCAGTGCGTTTCCCAGCAGCCAGGGCAGAGGCGACTCCTGCCTCCAGCAGCTCTGCAGGGCGCAGCGAGGACGGCGGCATCTGCAACGGGATGGGAGAGGAGGGTCAGGGAGCGGGGCTGTGCCTCGCCACGCCGTGTGCGTGTCCCCAGTCCTGCCCCCCTCTTCCAGCACGAGGTTCCCAGCAATGGGACGGGTCACTCTTGTCACCCATCCACGGCCATTTCCCCACTGCAGCAACCCTGTGTCTTGCATCAGGCGTTGGCAGAAGGAGAAACCTCAAGAAGCCACTTGGCTTTGTGCGGCAGCGGCTTTATAGAGCAGCTCCAGCACGCCCAGCTTACCAGAATATGCCTATCTCCCTCCTCCGGTTGATGTCTCTCTTAATTTGGCAAACGGAGCACACGGGGCACCACAGGGTGACACAGAAGTCAGAGCAAATGGACCCCTGTTAGGAAGAAATTGGTTAGGGACGGAGGTTTCCCAAAAGCCACGTTTCAGCCAAGAAAAGGTTAATCACATTCCACGTTCATGTGCCTTTTGTTTCCTGGCTGACTGCAGCATCCCAAGTAGCAGACACTAAAAATGGCAGCTGGCAAACCCCCACAGAGTGGAAAGGAAGGAGGAAGCCCTTTCTGCAGGCTGCAGAGAGCTGCTTGTCTTTCAGCTTTGGAGGTTAAGACTCAGGGGGGAAACACACAGAGAAAGAGGCAGTTGGGGCAAACTGGACTTGGGCCACATGGTTTGCACTGGGAAGGGCACAAGCCCCCGTGGGAAGAAACCATTTCACACATATAGCGTATACAAATGCTCCGTCTGATTACAGAGGTTTTTCTGTGTAACGAGGTTAATCTGTTCTTTAGTCTGCCCACAATTATCTCAAATATTTCCCATCTTTCAAAGATCAGGGATGGCATGGAGAAGCAGCGGGCGAGGCTCTGCAAGCCGCTGGAGAGAAGACGGCGGGCGAGCTTCTCCAAGCCGCTGTGGTTGGCAGCAGCTGAAGGCAGGACACGTGCCCCCGGTGAAGGGTGCTGGAAGGAGCTGTCTCCCATTAACATGCACTGTTGGACACCAGCCCAGGGACCGGTGCGGCCAAGAGCATCCCAACCCCTGTCCTGTGCTCCGGGCATCACGCAGGATTCGGAAGTGAAAAAAAGGAGGAGCAGCACAGTGAGGGGCCGGGTCAACCACTGACCGGGATGTTGTATCTGGTGCGGTAGAGGGTCCTCATGGCCACGCTGGTCCCACACCCTCGTTCATGCCCCCAGCCACTTGGCAGGCGAGGCAGGGGAAGCAGAACATCCCGCAGCAGCCTGGCCGGGGAGAAACGCAGCAGCGGGTGAGGGTCTGCCCGCCCGCCCGGCACCACCAGCATCGGAGGAGGAACTGGGAGCACCGGGCTACGTGGCTATAGCTATCGCAACCACCGATGTGAGTGGCAGGGGCAAGAAAAGCGTCCCGAGAGGGTGTGGGACCGGCCGCAGCACATCGCGGCCGCCGGCTGAGAGACGGTACCCCCCAGGCACTCACAGATGCCGCAGTCGGTGCAGCAGTCCATCAGCCCCGTCTGCCACGTGCCCCTCGAGGCAGCAGATGTGCCCATGCTGTGCTGCGGCTGGATCACCACGACGGGTGGGGCGGCCATTGCCAGCTGCTCTTCTGAAAGAGACGGGAGGGGAACGGAACAGTGAGCGAAAAAACTGAGGTCAGTCTGATGCCTCAACCAAGCTGGTCGCCATCGCTCCTCAGCGGGTGGCCTTTCGGTCGGCTCCGTTGCCGCTGCTGGAGGTGGCAAAGCATAACCGTATCTTACCTGCATTTGAGTCTCTTCAAGCTTTTTGCATTTTGTGGCATTTTATCCAGCCTTCAAAATAGCAGCAAGGCATTGACGTTCCCCACCCCACCCTAGAAGGGCTGCACTAGCGCTTAGACACAGTTCACCAATTACTCTCGTGCCAAGCAGGGCTGGGCAGTAAACCTAGGCGCAAACCAGTGACTCAGGCATTTCGGTTGGTCAACTTGGCAGCTCGCATTGGTCTCGCATTTCCTCGAAACGAGGCCGGGCTCCACACAAGAGAGATAACTGTAGAAAACTCGTATCTCCGGTTTCTTGTTGTAGAGAGCCAGAAAGGCAGAAACTCAACGCTGTGTCCCAAGTCTGAACCCCAGCCTTGCTTTCCTGCGGTTAAACAAGCAAGGTAAACCTTGAAAATCAGTAAGCCTCAGATCTAAAAAAAACCCACAAAAATGTCTGTGCTCCAATTCTCCCAGCCAGGTCAAAGACAACACAAAACATTCTCAGATAACAGTTAAAAGCAAGTTCTTCCCTGAGGCCAAGATAAACCACCTGCTCACATTTGTTGAGATTTCTTGCTACAAATTGTGGTGTTTTTTGTTTTTTGGTTTTCTTTTTTTTTTCTTCTTGGAAATAGCAGCTTGACAAAGGCAGAACCGTGCTGCAGGGTGGTCAGGCTCCTCCCCACACAGCTCCTGAGCGCAGAAGCCAGAACAGAAACTGAAATGAAGCAAATGAAGTGGGCAATCTTGGGGGGGGGGGAAGGGGGGGGGGGACACCCTCCCTCTGAAGCCTTCGGGAAAACGCACGCATCTCCAGAAATCCCACTCCCGGCTCTGCCTGGCAGCCCACGCCAGCCCGGCGCGAATGCAGCCGGGGCAGTACCAGGTATGTGTGCGGAGGGCAACGGAGCGGCATCGCCTCCGAGCGCCTCGCGCTGCCGACCCACAGCGATACCACCCACGCGTGCTACATCTCTGCCTTCGACACTTTCACCAACGCACAGCATTCTGTACATGAGTATTATTCATAGACTTTCTCCTCTCTGAGCTGCAAATGTTAACAAAGAGACTGCAATGTTAAGATGCCCTTGTCACTGACAGCACGCTGCATTGAAAAGGACAGCAAATACACGGGGGAGATCGGGCAGCAACACATAAAAGCCACTGACATGCAAGCTTCTGGCAAAGATGGCAGCTACATCCAGCACATCCCCAAAGCCCACCAGAAAACACATACAGCAAAGCAGCCTTGCTAAGAGGAATTTGCTCTTGAGCATCCATGTAGACAACAGAGAGCCCGATTTAAACAGAGCAAAGTACCAGCCAGATTCCTTTAATGCAGCTACACAGTTCTGGTAGCAGGAGAAAGCAGCAAAGAAAGTAACCTCTCTGTAATCCAGCTTTTGTGCATAGTTTTTTAAAAGCCCCCCCCTTCCCCAAGTAGGATTTGCCAGATAATTTGCTTTAAATTATGTACTGAGCAGGAAGGAAAAAAAAAAAACCCTCTACATTTGCACTATTATCCCACTCTTCCCAGGCTAACAAGTTTTTACTCTTTTCATGCTTTAAGAAAACCAACCTTCTGATGAGCCGTTTCTGTCAGTCAGGCTTCCTTGCCGGCCAGGGCCCTGTGCAGAGAGGCTCTGGGGAAGATGAAACTAAACTTTCTCAGTCTTCGAGGCTCTTATTGGCAGCCGGCAGCGAGCAAGTATAATGGTGGGAGGTAACTGGAGGGGGAGGTCAGGAGCTGTGCCCTGTTGGTAGGACTACAGGCTCACCACAGGTGCAGAGTACAACTTTTTTTTTTCCCCCCCACAGAATTAAATTTTAACTGCGGCTGCCTCTGCTTTATGACAGGGCTGCCTGGCTGACCCCTGGCTGGATCGTACACCTTTTTTGAAAAAAAAAAAACAACCAACCATTGGAAGAGGCTGTGGGAATTGAAGTTTGCAAAAAGTTGTAGTTCAGCAGACGGTTTCTAGAAGAGGAGATACCTGACATCCCCCCGCACGGCTAAACTAGGCTTATGGAAAATGCCAGTTAGCCTAGTAGTCTGCTGGGGAGGGAGGGATATGGGAAGCTGAAGCGCATGGTCAGAATGGGAGATGAGATACACATTAAAAAAAAAGCTCATCAGCAACATTTTAAGGCTTTTAACAGCCTGTCCTCTATTCAGAACTGGGGTGACACTGTCTGAGCGACCAAGTGCTTTTCCTCTGTGGAAGAGCAGCCCACTCCTACCTGCAACCCTGGTGCACCAGAGTGTAACTGCCCTTTGTCGCCCTGAGAAAACACCGCCATGAACACCTACCTCAGCTCGTTCCCTTCACCCGGCGTTTAAGTCGGACAAAAAACCCTGCAAAAATCTCACCAGTGAACTCAAAACGCGAACTCCTGAAACTTGCAGCAAGAGCATCACCCTCGCCCAGCGCTGGCCAAGAGCTCCCGCTGCCTCCCGCTCTGGCCGGAGCTCACCCCAGGGCCTGGCCGGGGCTCTGCCCGTGGCTGGTGGCCACCGTCCCCTTCATGTGTGGCTTCTCCGGGTCCATGAAGTGGCACGGCGAGCCGATGGGCAGTCAGCTGCAAAGCACGCCTCTCTCAGCCACAGCAAGACAACAAAGAGCAAAACGTCCTGATAGCTAGGAAGAAAGGAAATGTGCTAACAAAACCAAACCTGTAATGCCTTTTTCCATGTAGTAAGAATAAAAGATTATTCCCAAGCAGACAACGGAAAAATTCAGCTTAAATTAATATTCATCAATTTAATGTGTATTAGAGTAAATGCAATGTCGATAAAGATTCAGGAGTACAGAGTAAAAAAACCTCCCTGAACACATTTTTGCTTTCTCTGCAAAGAACAAAGTATAAATTATGCAGTCTACCGTTGTATTTTACAGAGAAGTGGCAACCAGAAACTAGTTTATTCCATTTTAGGCTGACACCATCCACACGCAAATGTTCCGCCTGTTCTCTGTACCATTTGAAACGACCCCATCGCGCGATTTAAAACACTTCCATAAATGAGAAAAGCCACCTTCTCCAGGACGCTGACTTGTGCTCCTGGGTAGACAAACCCTGGCATACCGAGAGGCAAGAAGTGGGTTCATTTACAGAGGGTCCGCCGCAAGCCCACTGCTGTGCAGGTTGGGGGGAGCTGCCTGGCGGAGGAGGGTGCCTGGGGGCCTCTCTCCAAAGCTCTGGTCTCGCCAGCCTTTTCAAGAAGCAGAGTAACAACCTCGGGGTTTCAACAGGGGTTTTTTTCAGACGTGGAGAAGGGCTTCTGCGCCTGAAAAGTTGTTTTTCTCCAGATGTCTCGGCTGGTTCAGTGGCAGAGCACCTCTCCCCCAAAGCTTGCCTCCTTCCCACAGCTTGGAAGGGCTCAGATGAAAGGAAAATCCCTGCAACTATAAAAGCCGGAGGAGAAAGGAGCTGAGCAAGTGCTAGGGGAAATTTTCACAGCCCTTAGAAATACGGCTAAAGGGTCAGGTTCACATCCCGCCGAAAGCGAAGCAAGTGCAGCCGGTGCAAGGAGAGAGCCGTTCCCTGCCCACGCCTGCGCGTCCCCTCGCCCCTCCAGCGCCAGGCACACGGTGGAGCGGGTCTGCTCGGCTGGCTGATCGGGCAGAAAATGGGGCGGGGGTTGTGGCTGGGGGGCTGCATTGACACCTGGGCAAGCTGCCCGAACCCCTCGTGCCACAGACACCCGAACGCGAGGTCCAGCGCGCAGCAGGGAGCTCGGGTCTGGGGCCGAGGACGTCACCCGCTTTGCAGCAGCACGCAGCCACAGCACGTCAGACCCGAAGGAACGCAGTAGGAGAGCGGTTTCAGATCCATCTGTGGTCACATGCTGGCTTGGGTGAAGGTTTGTCACAAGATGCTTCAGGCAGCCAGGCTGAGCTTCTGCTTCCCACGCTCATCGTCTGTCATTTCTTACCGTCCTTCCAGCGGCGCCAGTCTTCCTCTGGGTCACTCAGAGGTAGAGGACATTGCCCTCTGGGAAGCACGCTTCATCTCAGGAGCTCATGAGGTAAAAAACAACTAAGGTAAAAATCAACAATCAAATCAACCCCCTTTGTAACAGACTAGTCCAACAATTAATTTTGTAATCTGCTACTTCATTAATTCACAAATTTCCCCTAACTCACAAATTCACTGACTTGCACCTATGCGCAAGCAGAATTGCTACCAGAGGGTGTGAGTGCAGATCCTCCTGTCCCCATCCCCATCCCTGCACCGCGGTGGGAAGCAGGAGAACCGCAGCAGTGCAGCTGCTCTTCAGCCAGCTCTGGAGTAAGCTGGGTGAGCTGACTTGTGTCTACCTTCCAGCCGGGCCGTGTGCTCTGTGCCATTTCACAGAATCACAGAATCCAAGAATCACTAAGGTTGGAAAGGACCTTCAA